ACTATGATAATAAATATAATAAATAAAATAATGATAAACGTTATAATAATGAAAATGAATATCACAATGATAGTCGTAATAGCAGTGAAATTGGTGAAAATGGTAATTACGATTTTCCTAGTAATCATTAATGACGTTAGTTGGTGCAGTCATTTAGTTGTGCAAATAGATTATCACTAACAACGTGTATTCATAACAAGTTTTGCATTTTTTAAAGGTATTGAAGGCCAATATAATTCATCACATTATTTTAATTCTGATCAGAATTAAAAGTTAAATTCAATATACCATATATGAAAATAAATGATATCATTATAGTATAATAGTTTATTACATAGATCATGTAATTTATTGGCTATTCATTTATTTTCTCAGCCACCACTAGTAAAATGTTAACAAATCAGCAACCATCCTGATGTAAATAGATTTGAATATCTGAGATTTTAATATTTCAAATAAATAGCAATCGGCATTGTTACAAATCAGATACCAATCAGCAGTTTTCTATCTTTTAAAATGTATATTCTGATTGCTATTTATTTATAAAACAAATAGCATGCAGTTTGTTATACTTTTTTAATCATAAATTAGTATCAGTAGGCACTATTGTTATAAATTAATTCAAAAAATAATACCCAATTATTGCTTATTTATAAAGTTAACCATTATCTGTTAGTGTCAATTTTTTGAATAAATTATGATATGATTTCGATTATTATTTATTTGTATTGTTTATTATCATCAGTATATAATAAATAAATGCGATAGTAAAATACATAAAAATCTGTAAATAAATAGAAATACAATTTAAAGCAATTACATATGAAAATGTCTGTTTATCAAGATTACCACCATATATTTGATGGGATTTCTTTGACCTACTGTGAACTTACACAGTGTAAATCGGCTATATATATTATAGATGGGTATAATGCTATCTCTGTTGATTTCGTAAAAATCATATTTTCATAATTCAATATTACAAACATTAATATCATTAGCAACTTGACAATAGAATCTTTGTTTAATGATTTAGTGCAGGCAAGAACTATTTTACATATGTCAGATAATATTTACGTTTACCATCTGGAAGGTTTACTTCATGCTCAAAGTAGAATTGTACTTGACTGGAATACACATCACATATATTATTATCATGAATAAATCTCGCAAGAATGAAAGAATTCTTATAAAATCGTGGTATATTTGTTGATCCAAAAGTCTCAGCACTAATCTGTATTCTCCCAAATTGGTTAATAGTTAGTCTAATAACAGTCTGTCGACCGGAATGTCATATATTCATTCAAACCAATTCTGCAATAGTTACAAAATCCGAATCATAGGCTGCATTATAATATTCTACCAGAATATTATAAATGTTATCTGATAAGTTAACATTGCTTTTTTGGGAGATAATATCTCTCCTAAGAAAGTTTCTGAACCTGTAATAGTATCATCTATTTCCAGATGATAGATTTGCAGAAAATGAGCTAGCTCTATATATTTGAAATTGTCATAAGCGGTTAAGCTTCTCACAATCATTCTTGGTTGTATGAACTTCAAGCATTCTACAAGTATTCGATTATCCAAATAATATGATATAAGGTCATTTAATCTCCAATTGTGTAATATTATTCGTGATAATTCAGGCTCTATTTTATGATGACTGTTGGGAAAGGACCCTAAAATTCCATTCATGCATTCAAAAGAGTAACATCAGAAGGAATATAAAGGACCATAATCTTGATAACATTTTATAATATGAAAAGATGAATAGACATTTGGTGTTATCATTGCCAGGCCATAATTGTCTTCAATTAAATAAGCAACTGTCAATAATCGGATATAGGCTTCTTCTAGTATACATTGTTACGTTGATTTTTGTAACTTCAAATAAAATCTCAAAAGGGGTAAATAAAATTAAGACAATTACTTAAGGAATCACGGGTAAGGATTCACAATAACATCGAAGAATTATTCTCAATAATAAATATGTGAAATAAACACAAAATAAATACAAAGATAACTCAAAGATATTTCAGAGATTACGCTTCAGAGACTTCAAGTCAATACAGCGAATCAATACAATATCA